TGACAGCTCCCAAAAGGGAAGCCACATACTCTTGATGGCCCTCTGGTGTCTGCCTGCAGTACAGGTCAACAACCCAGCCTCCATGTTAATGGATGGGATATACAAAAAGTAAATAAATAAATTTTTCTCAAAGATGAATTTGTCAGTTTAAGTAGTTCTCATCACACTGACTTATTTAGTTAATTTATCTGACAAATAGAGTAAACGTTAAGATTGACAGCTGAGACAGACTCACAATTGGTCAGGTATGTGTGTAGGTGGGACCTTGATACAGCCGCTCTGTGACAAGATGGTGGTGATCATATTGGGGGTATTTTGGCGACATTTCTGGGTAGTGGGATGAAGTGGAGACGCATTGTCCATCTTAATATATAGTCTATTGTGTTAATTAAAAATAGATGACAGTATGTTAAAACACATCTGTAATAATGCTAAACATTGAATATATATATAGCCCTTGCTATAGCATGTTACAACCCATTTACTGAATGTTTATATATTGCTGAATCATGGGGACTTAAAATTAAATATTACCCAAAGAAATGAGTGACCAGAGTCATATACATCTAGAAGAGAAATATGAATAAATAATAAAAGGGAGAAAATATAGTCAAGTGAAAGTATTTCCTTAAGCATCCTATCAAACAATAGCGTACCCATGTCATTCAGAGTATTGTTCTCTTTGCTTGGCACGTACAGACATCACTGCACAGTAATGATCTCACCTGTGACTGATGAAAACACACCTAAATTCCCACATACCTTGGTGTAATTTTTCCACTGTTTATTTCTGTGCCTAACAGCTTTTTATTTCACTCCACAGGAATCTGGGAAAGTCAGGCCTACGCGTTTCCTGCCTCGGGTTAGGTGAGTTGGTTTGAAGGCAGGAAAATACTCATCTCTGTTTCAACCCCGCAAACAAAACAAACGTCTCTGTCTCTCCTCTCGTTCAGGCACCTGGGTGACATTTGGATCACAGATCTCTGATGAGGTGAGAGCTCTGCTTTCTCTCTTTGTGTCTGTGTGAGACGATTCCAAACACACTTGCTCGTATTGCTTTTGTGGTAAACACCGGGCGCCAGGAACGCAAATCTCTGAATGTTTTTCAATTATAGAAAACAGAAAGTCTCTCAGACCTTGAAACTACAGCAGCTTGATGACATATTTCTCTATTGTATTATCCTCCCTGTGTAGCGCCCTTCATGGACCTCTGGGTAATTGGAATTTATCTGTCGCCTCCATCTTTCAGTCTCAATTTTTGTGTTCCCTCAGATGGCCGAGAACCTGATGAACATAGCTTATGAGAACGGAGTGAACCTCTTTGACACGGCGGAGGTATACGCCTCTGGAAGGTCAGGCTTCACTTTCTCCTCTATACGCATCAATTAAAACTTGTGCTTTTCTTTCAAACTGATGTTTTTTTGCAACATTATTTTTATGTGTCCTTCACATTCTCTTACTGCAACTTCTCTCTTGAGGCAGATAAACAACTGAGAGTCTTCAGATTTCTGACATATCACATGTTTGCAGATTTATTGTTGTGCAGGGAGGTTTTCATCAACCTGTCACAATCAATGATGTGTTTCTCCACAGAGCGGAAATCACTCTGGGGAACATCATCAAGAAGAAAGGATGGAGGTGATTTAACTCCTTTTTTTCCAACCTTACTTTTGAAATCGTATTAATTCCTTGCTTATCTGAAATGCACTGCATTTCCACATGTTTTTGTTACCACTGGGACAGACGCATTGTTAAATTATCTCAAGGGAAAGATATATTTTTTACACAGATGAGGAGCTTTAGACTGAGAAAGACTATAAAAGGATAAACATGTGACCATGTGAAAATAAACTCCCAGTTCACAATACTAGGTCTCTGATTCGTCCAACCACTACATTTGTGTGGGAAATGCTTGAGATGTTTTTACTCAGGGGAGAAAATATCGATAAATAAAAGTCAAACTTGAAACTAGGCCTTTAGACAGCATTTATCACCACAATTAACTATCTCAGATAAACTGTTAACTATAGTCAAACAAAATAATGACGGTATCCAATTTGAAGGAAACAAGGGGTAGGAAAAAAATACTTAAATTCTATCTTTGTACCAAAACTGTGCTCCTAACTCTCTTGTGTCCTTGCCAGACGTTCAAGTTTTGTCATCACAACAAAAATCTATTGGGGAGGCCAGTAAGTGAAGCACTAAGAGACTATTTCTATGTATTAGACAGTTTTTTCCTGATTCAAAATCGTTGTTTGCTCTTATCATTTTAACGGAATATCAATAATGTGTATTTTCCGCACTCCACAGAGCTGAGACAGAGAGAGGACTCTCCAGAAAGCATATTATTGAAGGTAATGATATATTTTCAAACTGAATGGTCTCTATGTGGTCTGTATTTATATAAAGCTTTTCTAGTCTTGATAA